TGCCACACCGAACATGCCAGTCTTTTCAGCTGTGATGGCGTTATAATGTGACTGTCAATCCCAGTATTCGTTGGTAAAAGAGTAGCCCAAGAGTTGGCGGCGGGTAGTGTTGACCAGCTCTCTTCCCTCTAGTCTATCACTGCTAAAGGATATGTGCGAAATTCAAAACAAACCAAATCCTTATAGATTTTAAACAACAAAGGTGTAAATATAGAGTTTAGATATTTCTTTATCTTCCACTGCCTAAAAGGATTTTCGTAGCTTTAACGTTTTCTTGCTGAATATACATATTATTTTATCTCTCAACGTTTACCTCAGTGCAAGTATTAAAAATGCCCTCCTGGACAAGGAATTGTGGAAGAAAAAAAAACAGATGTGAAAATCTATTTTATACCCTCTGGTTTGGAATCCAATAATTAGTAAGTTAAGAGTAATCATAAAAATGAACTTTCATGTTATTTTCTCATAACAGCATAAACACTAAACTTATAGCCATATATTATCCCTTATAAGGTAAAACATTGCGGCTTTAGTTTAAGCGAAATTTAAAAATTTGTCAGAATTCTTTGTAGCAAACAAGAGCGCAAAAAGCTTTGAACACCTAAGACCTGTTTTGTAACACCGACTAACACCGTCAAGCAAATCTAGGGGGTGCGGGTGTAACATCGACAATCACCTACCAAGTAAACTTGAGTGGTTTGTATAGCATCGACAAGCACCGCTAGGTAAACTTGTTTGTTTGTTTTGAATTTCGCGCAAAACTACACGAGGGCTATCTGCGCTAGCCGTCCCTAATTTAGCAGTGTAAGACTAGAGAGAAATCAGCTAGTCATCACCACCCACCGCCAACTCTAGGGCTACTCGTTTATCAACGAATAGTGAGACTGACCGTTACAATATAACGCCTCCACGCCTGAAAGGGCGAGCATGTTTAGTGTAACGGGGATTCGACCCCGCGACCAGGTAAACTTGAGTGTATTGTGTAATATTGGCAAGCACTGCTAAGTAAACTTGAGTGGGTTTGTAACATTCAACAAGCACCTACCATGTAAACTTGATTTTATTGTTGTTTTCATAAAATTCACTTTTTGTTCTTGACTCAAACATTATTTCTTAATGTTAATTCACTTTTAATTGCTATGTATTCACTTAGTAGACATATTTCAAAATTTTTGTTGTGATACCTTATAAAAATATGAAATTAATAATTTTGAAATTGAAATTTACAATAATAACTACATTGTAATTATTAAGTAATATGTTTGCTACGAGCTTAAAGTACACCATAAACTCGAATTGGTTCAATCTCATTAAAGAAAAAAAAGATAAAATCCTAGCATTTTCAACAAGTTAAGCAGTCTTAAGCAAGAGAAAAGTTGTTACAACCCGATGAAGGCAAATGTTTACCTACAGAAAGAGCTGAGTTTTGTAATCAAGTTTACCATCTTTTCTTATCATACTTGTTATTCTGCTATTACAAATGAAGTGGGTCGCTTACACCCACTCACCAATCAACATTTACAAAACTGTGACTTGGCTGTTTTATCATTAGAACCACTATAAAAATCGTTCAATACCTTTATATAAATCACCATTTCAATAAATCAAATGAACATTATAAGTTATCATGGTCTCCTGTGCTCAGTATAGCAAGGATAACTGCAATACTATCGATCTAAAGGAATCATTCCTCTGTCACAGTGTTTGCCAACAAAAGCAGTAGCAGCACTGTTACATCAGTAGTTCCTCCGTCACCCGCGCACCTCGCCACCAGAGAGCGCCACACGTGTGTCGTACTTAGACAGTGGAAAGGGGTGAGTAGAGATAGGGGCAATGGTGTCATAATTTCACGTGTTGATAGGGGCACGTTGCTAGGACACCATGACAGGCGTACATGAAGTCATAGTTCCATGAAGTGGAACCACAATCATTATGAGGTCATCATACATGTTCCCACATGTAATCAGTGGCTAGATTTGATTATAATCTACAGTCGCTTTATGTATAAAAACTTCACTAATTCATCAGTTTTGTACTTAACCAAACTTTTTTTTAATTTCCTGATTTTTTATATGTAAATCACATATCATCCTGAAAAAGACGATTATTTAACATGGAAACTTAAGACAATCTTACTTTTTCACTAGTTTGTCTTTATCCATATAATTATGTTATTGATAAAAATATTGTTTCTTATGATAAAAGACAAGAAATACAATTTTGATTTAACATACTGATTACAGTTTTAGTTTCTATATTTAAACATACTTTTTACAATTAATGTCCTGAAAAGGATGCAAAAACTTTTATTTCAACAAGACAGCTATTATCATATACATACTATCATTTATTTGAATGAGGCAGTTATTATAATCAATAATTTAAATTACATACTTTTTGTCCTGAAAAAGACGATTATTTAATTCTCTATATAATTTAACATACCGTTATATATATATATATATAATGCATGTTATAATGTTCTATGAATGATTTCATTTTGTTACAACTAAAAATATTAAATGAATGACTTACTGTTTATCCATCCATTCCCTTGAAGATTAAAATTTCATAAAAACTTTGTGACTGTCTAGTGTCAAGACACTATTTATTAGTAAATATCACACACATACAGACAATGCGAGCACTGACGTCAAGAAACGAGTTTGTTAGGAGGTTGTCACACATACAGTGTGGAGCTGTGAGATATTTCAACTGACTAGTCCATGACAAGTTTTGACCTTTGTTCATTAGTCACATTGAAGAAAACATTATATGTTCGTTTCTACATCTTTCAAAACTTTATGTACATTTAAACTTAGTTGTTTTCCAAATACATAAATGAATATAACCGAGTTTTAATTGCAATGTTTCGATTATTTCACTTTATAGAAAGATTCTAAGTTACAAAACAGTATTTTGTGACTATCTTATATAAAGTTCATGTTTTGTCAAAGTCCAATATACTATTGTGTAAGTAAAATTAACAATTTCTACACAATCAACAAAAACTTCAGGTACAATAAGTGTCATAGATTATAATTTACTGGATTAGCTTTCATACAAATTATGTCCATTCCAACTCATTATGTAAGATTTTATATAGTTTATAACGATAATGTACCAGTCTTGTACTTTACTACATTTGGTCGAAAGTTAAATTTATTTATCTCATGTTATAATGTATAATGGAAATACAGTTTGCTTTGGTTGCAAAGTTTATTCTGTAATGATAGACAATAAACATGATGAGTTTATAAAATATGAAATAGAAAATATGTATTTTCTTCTCTTGATCATAAGAAACAACAAACTGAAATATTTTGTTGAGAGCTTTTTATTGTTATCCCAGTTATTTTGTTTCTTCTTTAAATCTTTAAAGGTAGGATGCATGCATATTATATTTGATAAATCTTGTATATAGTCGTCTTTCTTTACAGTAACCCAGAAAGATTCATTGATAGGACCTGATAAATTTAACTGCATTACTCGCAATCTGAGAGTTCGAATCCCCGTCCCACCAAACATGCTTGCCTACACAGCCGTGGGGGCGTTATATTGTGATGGTCAATCTCACTATTCGTTGGTAAAAGAGTAGCCCAAGAGTTAGCGGTGGGTGGTGATGACTAGCTACTTTCCCTCTAGTCTTACACTGCTAACTTAAGAACGGCTAGCGCAGATAGCCTTCATGTAGGTTTGCGCGAAATAAATAGAAAAACAAAACAAACAAACTATTTCCAAGTTTGGTTTTAAGCTTAATTTTTTAAAGCTAAAGTAAGCGAATAATCACAAACTTTCAAGCATAATCAAAACTATTATTTACGTAGATTAATTTCTAAACCTAAACAGCATTTGGATGGCAGATGAAAAAACGTGGTTACTGTGACAATATTTAAATTTGATTTCCAGAACTTATGTTTTTCAAGACACTTAAGAGATGTGTAAAACAAAACGTTCAAGATGTAATCGTGACAGCAAAATAATACAAACTTTTTTATTATATCAAATCTTTCTATATCCATAATTCTGATTTGACATATAATTATATGAGCATTAAATTGACAAATTAAAAATATAGACAGAATATTGCTTGTTTAAAATTTTCGCGAAAGGCTACACAAGGGTTATTTGCGAGCTAATATAGACAAAATAGGAGGCCCGCTAGTTAACAGCTCCCACCTACAACTCCTCTCTAATTGAATAATGGGATTTAACCGTCACTTTTATAGTGCATCCACGGCCCAATGTGCTGAGCGCGTTTATGTAGCAACAGGGCGCGAACCATGAACCTCAAAACCTACAACCCAGGCACACTAATTACTACGCCCAAGCTATAGGGAAGGACTAATATTTAAATATGATATGGTCAATTTCATTAATTACAGTATTTCCGGTTGTTAAAGTCACGTAGATTTAATGGATACGTAATAATTTTTCTTTCAGCTTTTATAAAATAATGTCCTACATGCCCATCGATTATTGATAAACACTAAGGAAAAAGATCAGAAAGATACCAACTGGCACAAACCTCCATCCATTCATTTTATCATTAGAAAATGTCCCATCAATTAAAGCAGCCACAAACTGTCCTCCAGCAAAGAAACAACCGTTGAGAGTTACCAGTCTTCCTCGGATATCAAAGGGCGCCACCTCTGATAAGTACAAGGGGACGATCATTGATGTTAATCCTAAAAAAATGTAATATATATAAATTTATTTATCAAAAAATTAATAACTGGAAAATTCTGTTACATCGTTTAAACTATAGCATTTTATTGATGGTTACAAATAGTTCAATAAATACTATACAAATAGAAATAAAAAAAACCACCGTCTATTGATCTTGTGGACATATAAAAAAGGATAAAATTTATATCAAACAGATTACATCTAATTAATGGATTAATTAAATTACTTTAACTGGACCATAATATTTTTCTTCTACAAATATTGATTCGGATTAATTTAAGTGATCACTTTCTTTAAATGATCTTAAAGGTTATGAATGTAACTTTAATTTTTGGATTTTAATTCTATATAGGTTAATATTTCTACATGAATCGCGTAAGTGGGTTCGCGAAATTATTATTTTCCGTTGTGTCTACCAAGAAATTTTTTTAGAAAGATGAACTTAAATGTATTTAATGAAATTAGAAAATATATTTTGCCAAAAGCCTTAAGTGTTAGCTAGGAATAAGACGTTAGAATCCGAAGAGAAATTTTAATTATATTTTTTGTTTATAAGGAATTAAGATTTTGTTTGTTTGAATTTATGCACAAAGCTACACAATGGGCTATCTGTGCTCTGCCCATCACAGGTATCGAAACCCGGTTTCTAGCGTTGTAAGACATGCCGCTGTGCCACTGGGGGGGGGGGGGCAGGAGTTAAGAATAAAAAAAATATGAGACGGAAGGTTGTAGATGTAAAATTTTTTTTGTTATTACATGGTCTTAACCTTCAAACTTTGAGTCATACATTTACTGCGACTCCTCTAGCAAGTGGTTTATATCAAGAAAATAAAGTGATATTTTTCTTTCTACCTTAATTTCTTTTTTAGGAAATCAGTTAGAGGAAAGAAGGTCGGACACATTACGGGGAGTAAATTCAATGATCCACACCTAAATTTAGGAGTTTTGTGTCGTTTCATCACTTATGTAAACATATAATTTTCTTTACATTCTCAATTAGGCCTTATTACAGGAGAACTGCCGTTTGTTGATTTCTTTAATTATCGTGATTAGTGTCATAATTCTATAAACGACTTTCCATAAATCCGCCACTGCTCTTTTACAAATTCACATTGTACTTCACGCTATCGTGTACTTAGTGTGTCTAATATACATATATAACCTGTTCTTCATGTCAAGTTCCCCGATGGGACAGCGCTAAGTTTATAGACTTACCACGCTTAAATCCGGGGTTCGATTTCCCACGGTGGACGTAACAGATAGCCCAATGTGGCTTTGATCTAAAACAAACAAAAACTCCTTATGTGAAACACTCTTGAATACTTTTTGATTTAGTTTCAAAACCAAAACGAAAACAGGCCCAGTGAACAGAGCTGTTTGTTTATCCTCATTGCCAAATTACGTTTGTAATTTTAACAACTATTTGCACATTTGACTTATAAAAATAAGCTATTTAAACCTCAGCTATGAACCCTACTTATCGAAATGTAAGACCAGGAGGGAAGATTAGGCACTTTCCTAAAGAAACATTATCCTTTACCCGAATCGAATAAATTTCCGTGGAATTAACTGAACGCTCCTCCGATGGGTCAACGGCTTACAACGCTAAAATCCACGGTTCAATTCTCAGCAGAGGACATAGCCCATTGTGTAGCTTTGCGTTTAGCAACAAACACTATTATCGACCACCCAGTGGCACAGCGGTATGTCTGCGGACTTACAACGCTAGAATCCGGGTTTCGATACCCGTTGTGGGCAGAGCACAGATAGCCCATTGTGTAGCTTTGTGCTTAATTACAAACAAACACTATTATCGCTAGAAAATATCAAGCTAACTCTAAATACCTGAAAAAAGTAAACCTATGTATTCCTTCCTATAGATGAGCACAACCCAGCAACCGCGAAGGATAAAAAATTGTACAATTGTCATCCTGACATTGATTTTGCTTCTAGTTTGATGATAATCAAAGAAGAAACAACTATTGTACGCACATCAAATGACGTCAGAGATAACGCTAAAATTTGAAGAACGAAAAATTTAGTGTGCAAAATTACATACGCTCGCTTTTTGTTCTGGTTGTTTAAATCCACAAATGGACATTTCTTCGGGTGGAGAAAATCCTCATTTGTGTTTTTTTTTTTTTAGAAACTGAACAAATTCCATTAATTGTTAGATAGATGTTTTTTACATATTCTTTTAACTTCTACTATTACCAGTAGACTTGAACTGCAACATGTGACTTCGTTTCAAGTTATTACACCTTTGAGAAAAGAGGTTTTCAATATGTTTGGTCACAAACATACAAGTGATGAAGGTTGTTGTTTTCTTAGGGCAAAAATACACAACGGGCTACCCTCATTCTATCCATTACGTGGATCTAACCTGTGTTTTTAGTTTTGTAAGTCTATAAACTTACTGATGAACAATGGAGGGAACTGACGAAGGTGAATAACAGTAAATGAAAAATATTACTCTTTTTATGTAATTTCTATCATTTTTTCTTCTTTCGCCTTCTTTAGAAGGCGTTTAATCTAGCACAGTGCATTTCCATTTATTAACTGTCCACAAATTGCACTCTAAACCTCACTAGAGCCATGTTCTCATCCTTGCATTAGAGGTGTTCTTCAACTGATTATAAGTTGCCACACTCCAATTTTTAGCCGCAGCATAGCGGCTCATAGAACGTCTCTAAGGTGTTTTTAAGTACAAACGTTTAGCTCATAGCTCTGTCATCTCTTGACCGATTTTTAGCCGCGGCATAGCGGCTCCTAGAACGGCTCTAAGTTGTGTTTTTTAAGTACAAACGTTTAGCTCATAGCTCTGTCATCTCTTTGCCGATTTTTAGCCGCGGCATAGCGGCTCATAGAACGGCCCTGAGTTGTTGTTTTTTAAGTACAAACGTTTAGCTCATAGCTCTGTCATCTCTTTACCGATTTTTTGCCGCGGCATAGCGGCTCATAGAACGGCTCTAAGTTGTTGTTTTTAAGTACAAACGTTTAGCTCATAGCTCTGTCATCTCTTGACCAATTTGAGATCTAATTGCAGTTTTGGACTAAGGAGGTCAAACCATTTCGATTGATGTATTTGACCACGCCCAAGGTCTCATACATTAATTCACTTTAATCCTGCCTAAAAGAATTTCAATTTCAGGGTAGGCTGGTAGAGATCCCCATGAGTAATAAAATCTAATCGCACATCCCACGCTTGGTATTGCTGGTGCACAAACATATAGATTGGTTGAGTTGTGTACTTTAACCTTGATGAAGCCGCAAAGGTGAAACGTTGGTTGAAATGTATTCTTTTATATTTATATGGAGTGTAAAGGTTGTTTTTCTAAACTTTGTACAAAAATATAGCTAATAAAAAGGAAAAAAAAGGTCTCATAGATTCTTTTGCTCTAATCCTGCCTGAAAGAATTTCTAGTGCCTCGGCTATTGAGGATTCCCTCTTGTTTGTAATGAATTTCGCATAGAATTACAAGAGTGTGTTGAATTAGGACAATTATTGAACATTTTAGTCGGTTAGATCATAAACTGTGGTACCTTCAGTCTGTCATTAGCAGTTGCTTCTAGTTGCTAACGTATTCCCATTTTATTGCCACGAGTAATATAATCTTATGACCTATCCCGTTAAATAACTGGTCAAAGAAACGGTTTTTCGTAACAAATCTCTTTCCGGAAGAGTACTGTAGTTATTGTTAAACGCTTTTGATGAACTTTGGAGCAATCACTACTCTTACCCATTGTCTTGGAGTCTAACCATGATGTAACCATATCTCTGTGTTCAAACAATCACTTGACGTATTAAAAAAATCAACACATTTTACAAATGCAAACAGATGAAACGTTTCTCATATATGTTTGTGAGGTACTATTAAAGCGACCGGTCTGTGTACTTTTCAATCATAAATAAACAAATTAACAAAATGATGTTTGACACTATTATAGGGTGTCCAAAAATGTGTCCAAAAAGTACAAAACCTGGTGATTACCAAATAATTAATGCATTTAATTAAAGCCTAATGATGAAAATTTATGTTCCCATAATCTCTATTCACACCACATGTTCATCGTAGGTTCCACGTTTACCGATAATAGACTGCATTTGGACTGCCATATTGTTCATCACTTCAGGGAATGTTTGTAGGGGGTGCTCCGAATTTCCTGGCGGATATTGCACTTCAGGTCATTAATAGTCCGAGGCTTGGGGTTAGCATAAATCTTATCTTTTAGCTAATCCCATAAAAAAGAATATGGAGGTGACAAATGGGGTGAATATGGAGGCCATTCCACATCCTCATGAAGAGAAATCAGTCGATCTGGAAATTTTTCACGGAGGTAACACCTTGTTTCTCTGGATGTATGAAAAGATATTCCGTCCTGCTGGAACTACTGTGGATGTATGAGAAGCTGTTCCATCCTGTTGGAACTACTGTGGATGTATGAGAAGCTGTTCCGTCCTGTTGGAACTACTGTGGATGTATGAGAAGCTGATCCGTCCTGTTTGAACTACTGTGGATGTATGAGAAGCTGTTCCGTCCTGTTGGAACTACTGTGGATGTATGAGAAGCTGTTCCGTCCTGCTGTAACTACACAAGGTGATGTACACAATAGTACTTACAAGAAAAAAGTACATTACTTTTGTTACTGAATATTTTCCTTAATCTATAGTAGATATTAAATTGCTCTTCTATATGTGATATTATAGTGTTTAGATCTGTACATTAACATAAAAATAGTGGCACTACAGCATTTAGGACATTTGTGGCTCAAAGTTAGACCCTGTATATAGAGTCACAGCAATCCCTTTGTTTTAACTCGAATGGCATTACCACTGTTATTATATATTAATAATTAAAAGAAATTTAGAGCAAAAAATGTTATATTGCCCCAAATCTCTCCAAATGTGTTATATAAAACTTTTTGATCACATTCACTTTCATAGATTATATTTCATATATATATATAAATCAATATAAAATATGGGTTGTTGAGTGTTCCTTATTTTAAAGAATCAACCATTCTTTTCTTCAGTTCATAAGAATTCGATAAAGTGTGAGAGATTTTACGTTTTAATGGGTTATCTTTGTGGAAGATCAAAGTTTTCAATTTCTTCGAGATAAATATTTAAATAAAATACTGGTTCGTACTGAGCGTTATGGTGATATTTAATTAAGAATTCTAGATTTTTAAACTGAAACTTTCTAAATACTTTTGTATAAGACGACAAAGTAATGGTCACTGGGCAAGATTTGTCAAGATCAAAAGTATCTTAGAGGACATCGGGTCAATAGTTCGCTGAACATGCTTCGATCTTTCAGTGTTATAGTTATGATAGTCAATCCCGCTTTTCGGTTAAGACTAGTCATATAATAGGTGGCGGGTGTTTCTGACTTTTTACCATTCTTCTGGTCAACAGTTCGAAATTAGAGGTATCTGACCTGGCCTTTTACTCCATGTGATACTCGGTATGAAAATAGCAATACTAATATCATTTCTAGGATATAATCGCTGTTACAAAGTATATAATTAAGTGATTAAACGACGTAGTATCAATGCATCCTTCTACATATACCTCAATAGGTGGATATTCACTTGTTTCTCTATTATACGGTGAAGTATACAATGATATTATAAAGATCAATTATTTATCATATAATTATTGGACTCCACAGAAAGTAATTGTAGTTTGTTGGAATAACTCGACTGTTTTGTGGTTAACTCTCTGAAGAATATCTCAAGGAAGCCGCTACCTGTTAGTTGTAAAGGGCAGATTTTCATAAATACAGCAATAACACATCAGCATAATAACGCAAAAATAATTAAAGAATGACAAGTTTGGCCTGTCGAAACTAGTCGTGTTTCTTATGCTTTAGAGTTCTTTAACCATTTGTGAATAAATATGCTGATGTATTGTACTGTTTTTTTAAGAATATGCATAAAGCACTTCTTCTTCAAATATGACGTATTTTCGTTCTAATGTCCTTTAAATTCCCCTAACTAGTGATAGATAACCATTGCATTATTTTGCGGAATTATCAGTTTTTTTAACATTATTATTGTATTTTTCGATTCTCAAAAGTAAGTTCTTCATGAAAAGCTACACATTCACGAAATACTACGGTAACAAATCAATGTAAAGGTAAAACTACACATTCACGAAATACTACGGTAACAAATCAATGTAAAGGTAAAACTACACATTCACGAAATACTACGGTAACAAATCAATGTAAAGGTAAAACT